TGTCCCCTCTTCCAGAAAGCCCTCCCTGACTCCCCATCCCCTAGGCTGGGTCAGGAGCCCTCTATGGGCTCCTCCACGCCAGCCCTGCCTACTCTGGGCCCTCACTGTCCAGTGACCTGTCTTCCCCATCAGACAGGACCCTGGCAGAGAGGAAATACAAGGATGAAGAGCATAGGATTTCCAGCTGGAATCCAGCATTCAAGTCCTGGTTCAGCCAGCCCCTAGCTGAGTGACCCTGGACTAATTTTTTAAGGTCTGAGACTCGGCTTCTTTCTGTATAAAATGGGAATGCAATTACCCTGCCTCACAGAGATTCTTTGAAAATTAAATGAGAGCATGCCTGTGCTGCACTGCACTACAGTGGCATATCCTAAGTGCTTAAATGTGGACACTAGTGTTGTTACCATGTCTTCTTTCTCAGATTTCCTTCCCCCCTCCCCTTGTCCTGCTGAGCCCAGCATCACCCTGTCCCCTCACCTGTTTGAGCACTGTGATCTTTGAATCATTGGTGATCAGCGCTGCCTGGTTCAGGAGATCCACCACCTGGAAGGAGGGGGAGAGGCAGATGATGGTGCGAGCCTTGCCAGCCCAGCCCCTTCATACTTCCTGCGCTCTGACACCTGGGGGGGGGAGGGCATTGCCCAAAGACAGGGGCTGTGCCTCCCCACTCCAAGCCCTTCTCTCCATGCTCACTCTCTCTGAGGTGGTCATGCCATCGATGCCAGGCCCCTCCTCTTGTGTGAAAAACTGTGATGCCACACTCCGGCGAGTGACGCTGTCCCCACTGCTGCCCGCCATGGCTGCCGTCGGGTAGTCCCTGGAGAAGAAGAGGAGAGATCAAGCTTTGGGTCCTGTGATGGGCTGGACCTTCACCCCACCATTGCAAAGGGCTCAACCCTCCTTTCCAGCCTGTCCTGTCCCTGCTGGTCTTCTGAAGCACACCCCCGCATGGTCTGTCTCAGACTGTATGTGTACATGAGGGTTGTAATCTGGGGGAGACTAATGTCTCCCGGGTCAAAGGCAGTACCTCGTGGAGCACCAAGCCGCACTTCCAGAACTTTACACATAACGGGCTGACCACACACATCTGCTGAATGACTGAACAAATGAACACACAGCAGCCAACTCCCTGGTCTCAGAGCTTCCTGTCTCTCCATCTGGGCTGCACTCTGGACTGACACCAGAGCAAGCTTTATAAAGCAAAGCTCTGAGCAACATCAGTCAAAGTCCTACACACAGTAACTACTCAATATGTCAGAAAAGGCCTAGTTAAGTAAGTTATGTTTCAGCCATTTTCTGGAATATTATGGAGTTGTTTTTAAAAAGGAGGGGGGAGACTTCTGGGCATCTGTCCCAAAGCCACAGTGGCAAAATTATGAAATAAGAAGGCTATCAACTACAGCACTATTCCTAATAGCAAAAGACTATCAGAACCCAAATGTTCTTAAATAGGGAGATTGGTTGGAAAATCATGATATATCCACATAACAAAATACCATGCGACTGTAAAAAGGAATGAGGGAGGGGGGAAAAAAGAATGAGGAAAATCTCTCCACACTGATAAACAGTGGGCTCCAGCAAATATTAAGTGAAAACAAGCAAAGTGGAAGGCGTTTTCTGTATTCTCCTTTTTTGCAAAAGAAACGGAAATATGTATACATGTTAAAAAAAGAAAAAAACTGAAAGGATAAACCAAAAAGCAGAAATGGGAGGAAAGGGTAAAAAAAATTTGGTGGATCTCAATGTATTATCATCATAAAAAGATGTCCCGACAGCCTGCTGCACCACAGAAAAATATATGCAATTTTGTCAAGTTTGTGTAGTATACGCAGAATGACCTAAGGCAAGAAACAGTGGGGTCTCAGTTTCCTCTTCTGTAAAAGAGATAGGAACAGTCTTTCCATCCCAGGACTCTTCTGAGGGGTGGATGAGTTAGGAACGTGAGGTAAGTATAGCTACTATTTTTATGTACACAGAAAAGATCTGAAGAATACTGCACAAACTGTTAACAATAATTTGAGGAGGGTAAAAAGATGCATCTTTCAAAAGGACCATAATGTAATGTATACAAGAGTTACTTACCAGATATCTGCTGAATGAATGACTATCCAACAGCCTCCTTCCTAGTCTCCCTGCTGCCACTCACCCCCACATCTTGCTTAGGGTCAAAACCAATGTCCCCACTATAAGCCTACAAGACCTTATATGATCTGGCCCCTTTTACCTCTGCCCTCATTTCCTTCCCAGCTTTCTCTGCTCCAGCCACTCTGGCCTCCTTCTTGTCCCCTGAACATGCCAAGCATGCCCACTCCTCAAAGCCTTTGTCCTTCTCTTCCTTCTGCCTGGAATACTCCTCGCCCCAGATACTGGCACACCTCCCTCCTTCTGCATTTCCTTCAGGTCTCAACTCAAATATCCCAGCAGAGAGGTATTCCCTGATGACCCTACTTCAAATTTCAATTTCCTCTCCCTCCCCAACACCGACTCTTTGAGGCAGGTACTATTTTTTTTTTTTTGCTGAGGAAGATTCACCCTGAGCTAACATCTGTGCCAATCTTCCTCTATTTTTCAGCATGTGGGCCACCAGCACAGCATAGCTGCTGACAGAGCAGTGTAGGTCCACGCCCGGAACTGAACCTGGGCTGCCAACACAGAGGGCACCAAACTTAACCACTAGGCCATTGGGGCTGGCCGGAGGCAGATACTATTTTTAACCTCCATTTAACAGACAAAGAAATTTGAAGGCAGGGAGGTAAAGTCACTTGACCGAAGGCTCATAGTTTGTAAGATGCAGACCAGCACTATGGGCGCAGAATCTATCCTCTTCAACACTCCGCTGTACGCCTCTCTGAAAGGAAGTGCTTCTCCACCCCAGGTCTGTTCATGGAAGCCAAGGGGCACATCCACCTGACACCAGCATACTGCTGTCCCCCATCAGAACAGAATGAAGCTTTCACGACGAAACTTTCCACTCTTTTCATGATGATAATACTTTGAGATCCACCAAAATGTTTTACTCTGTCCTTCCTCTTCTACTTTTTGGCTTATCTTTTTATTTTTTTTAAACATATACATACTTCCCTTTTTTTTTTTTTTGTAAAAAGGCAGCACAGAATAAACACTGTCTTCCATTTCATTTGTTTTCACTTACTATATGCTGGAGCCCACTCTCTATATCAGTGTATAGAGATTTTCCTCATTTCTTTTTCCCTCCTCCCTCATTCTTCATTTTATTTATATTTTACTTTATTATGTGGATGTCATCAGCTTCTTCCTGCCAGTCTCTCTATTAAAGAACATTCGAGGAGTCTGCAGTCGTTTGCTATTACCAACATCATTGTTTCCTTTCTCTCCCGTGCACTCCTTATGGAGTACCACTCCCCCACTCCCACCTGGGAGTATGACTCCCTCTTTTACACAGAGCGGCCCCAGGAGCATCTTTCATTCATTCAACGAACACTAACTGGGTGTCTTCGGTGTGACCAGCACCCACCCAGTCCCTGCCCCCGTGGAGCTCACGGTCACAGACACGATCAAACAGCCGCACCAATAGAGGTCCAATAACAAACCAGACCACACGTGACATGAAGGAGAGGAACAGGGACCTATGAGAGCGTTCAGCCTGCGGATTTCGGGATGGAGGGCGGGAAAGGAGGGCCTCGCAGAGGAAGTGACGTCGGTGCCAAGACCCGAGAGATGAATGGGAGTCAGCCAGGCGGAATGGGTAAAAGGGAGACAGCGTGTGCAAAAGGCTGAGGCGGGAAGGCGCAAGGCGAGTTTGAGGAACCGGAAGGCCAGTGCAGCTGTGCGAAGTGGGGAAGGAGCAAAGAGGCAGAGTCGAGGCCGGCGGGGCGGACGCGCCTCGGGGGCCACGTTGGAACTTTGCCTGAGGCCACTGGGCAGCCACGGGAGGGTCCTGAGCAAGGGAAGACAGTGAGGTCCCGAACGTCACTGCTCCCCTCTCTTCACAGCGCCCCCAACCCCCGGCCGGCGCCCCTGCCGCTTCAGGGTCCCTCTTCCTTTCGTCGCCGGGCCCCCACGCCGCCCCCCGCTCACCGCAGCTCCGGCCTCCGTACCCCTCGCGCCCCCTCAGCAGCGCCTCTTCACAGACGCCGCCGCCGCCATCTTCCGTTCGCCGCCGTGACACTGCGCACGCGCCGCACACACAAGGGTCGCCGGGAAATGCAGTCCACACCGCGGCCCGACCCCGCCCCTCCCTCACGCCTCTCGAGTGGCTTTCCGCCCTCCCCCAGACTACTCCCGGGCGGCTCTTCATTTCCGGCCTCCTGACGCCATCCCTTCTGGGAAATGTAGTCCCTTAGCGGAGGCGCGGGACGGAAAGGGAGCTAGAGGCTTCTGGGAAATGGAGTTCACAGAGGTTCTCAGTCCCTGGACGGCTGGCGTTAGAGGGAGTGGCGAGTTCGGGCGGCGAAGCTCCTAGGTCTTGGAGGTGGTCTGTTGCCCCACTGGGATCTGAGCAGAGGCCCCGATCCCATCCACCTTTGGTCCTGACCATTTACACAGTCTGGAGCATTTCTAGCTGTCGGAAGCTTCAGTCTTCCAGTCCGATCAATGAGAATATGGTTTTGAGGGTCTCTTACTGGTCCTTATACTGGCATATCCGGATCCCTGGAGTGCACTGCGCTCTGAGCCCCCTTTCCTCCGCGGCGGTCATGCGCGCTCTGGCTATTCGCCTCTCCTGTCGAGATGATGAAACCTTCTGGGGTAGAAGGGCCCCAGAGTTCTGCCCTCGGGGCCCTTAGCATCAGTAGTGTCTCCCACCAGTAGCACCCTCACTCTTCTGCCATCTCCAGCTCTCGTGTCCCTGGGCGGCGGCTCCCGGCGCCTGAGGTCTATCTCTTCGCAATCCCGCAGGGGGCGCCCCAGTCCGAGCGCGCCGCCCTCGGGGAGGCGGGAGGGGAGCCCGGGGCGGGTGAGGGCGGGGGGGTGTCCCGGCTATAAAGCGTGGCCGCCTCCCGCGGAGCCCGGGACGGCTGGGACCCCGGGCGGTCAGACGGGCGTGCCCCGGTCAGAACTCGGGCCGTGCCGGCTGAGAGATCCGAAGCGTTCGGTCCCCCCGGGCCGGAGCGGGGGCGGGTGGGGGCGCAGGCCCGGGGGATGCTGGGCTCGGTGAAGATGGAGGCCCATGACCTGGCCGAATGGAGCTACTACCCGGAGGCGGGCGAGGTGTGTCCTCGGGGATGGCTGAGCGGGAAATGGGGGGCAGGAATCGGGGTGCGGGCTTACGTGGGGGCAAGGACCGCGGTGTGGGCTCAAATGGGGGCCCCAACTAGAGTTTGGGAGCGGAGGAACTAGAGACACGAAGACCAGGTGTAGGAGTCAGGGACGGGGGACAAGACACGCGAGCGCGGTTTAGGTAGGCTAGTCCGCGTGAGGGCTTAAATGGGAGTCAGGAAAATTTAGGCAACGGTCATGTCAGAGCTTAAACGTCAGGGCTGGGTGTTAGGGACCTAAAATCCAAGGAATTAAAACGAACAAATCAAAGATAGGAATCAGAGCTCCAGGACAGGGGACAGAGCTGGAGGATTAGGAAATGGGATTCAAAATTGGGGGGAAAGACTGGAACTAAGAGATAGGAGAGAGAGGTCACCATTAAGGGAAGTCTGACTTGGGAGCTCAGGGTTAGAATATAGTGTTAAAGGTGGGGGTTCTGGGGTAGAAATCAGAATTAGGGTTCAGGGCTAAGGATCCGGGTAGCAATCTAAGATAAGTTCAGAAATTGAGGTTGGTGTTCCGGGATAAGAGATGGGGATGCTCAGAGAAGAAGCTTGCCTTGGGGAGTCTGAAATAACAGGTGGGTTGGTTTGGGGTTCACATAGGTAGGGGCCCAAGTGGGGTCAGAATTGTGAACCTGAGAGCAGGAGATGTGAGCAATAGCACTGGCTGGAGAGGGATCAATCTCCATTCCCCCCCATGGCTACTTAGGACCCTCACCCCTCCCAACTGAACTTCAGTGGTTTAATGGTTATTAGAGACCCTCAGCAGGAACTCTACTTGTTGGAGGCTGGAGGGTTTCAGATTTCGCACCTACCCCCCTCCTTCCAGCAATCTCCAGTAATTGCTAATGTCCTCAGCAGTCTCATCTCAGACAAGGCCACCCTGGAGTAAGGGAGCGGGAGTATATCTTAGTTCCCTCACTTCAGCAAACAGCAAGTCCTTCTCTAAGTCTAACTCCCATTCCTCTTACTGCAAGGACTCCTTCTCCTTAGCTCACTGTCTCTATAGTCAACATTGCGAAGTGGAGAGAGGGGCAGAGTCCTAGTCAGAGACTTATGGGGGTCTGGACACTTGGGTTCCTAACCTGGAAGGAGACTGAGGGCTTCAGTGGGGGTGTGGGGCTGGAATGGTTGAGTTCTCCAAGGAGACTGAGATCTGGAAGTTACAGGGGCCCCAGTGTGCCTGAGTCCTGGGTCTGGGGTTTGAAGCTGTAGGGTGGGACTCCTGGATCCCCAGGCCTTCAGAGCTTGGCAAGGTGCCCAGGAGGGGCCAGTCCTGGGGCTGCAGAGGTGTGAGGTGCACGTGGGGTGGGGCAGGCTGGCCAGGGAAGGGATTGGGACTGTTGAGAGGTGGAGGTGGGGCGGCTGGAGGTGTCAGTTGTTTGGTGGGGAAGGCAGAGACCAGCTTGGACGTGGAGGCTCTTAGGTAATGGGGGATCCCACTGGGTTTACCCCCAGAGAGTTCAGACTCTGGGGACATGATTTAAGGGCACCAACCACAAATCTGTTTTGGAGGCACATCTTCAGAAGTAGATTGTGGGGGTCTAGGATGGAGGAGTCATTATTTGGGGCACAGTCTGAAGTTTAGGGGACAATTGGTGTGGAAATTGTGTCAGAAATGGAGGGACAGTCTAGAGATGATCAGCATTTGGGGGCATATTTTGGAAGAGTCAGCATATGGGGGGCTGGAAATGGAAATACCGTCTGAGGGTCTCCCCAGCTTTCTCATCAGCCGAGGCACCTCCTCCCCTTGGGTCAGACCAATGGGAAGAGAAACATCTGGGCTCACTCAGCAACAGAAAACTGAGAGGGCCCCTAAACTGCTTCTTGCCCACCACACCCTCTTGCTAGGATGATGTTGACCCCCACAGGCTGGCTCTCTGTCTGGAAGGAAATTGGGAAGTTATCACCCTGGGGTGACCCCATTGGCCTCTGGATCTCACAGATCAGCTGGTTCAACTGCTCCCACATTTTAGAGATGGAAAGTCTGAAGCCTCTTAGAGTGTTGGGGGCTGCTTGAGGTCCTGGGCTGGGACTGGGACTAGAAACTAGGCTTCTGGCTTCACACTGCCTCCCTCTGCTCCCTGTCACACCCTCCTCCAGAGACAATAAGGAAATGAAAGGGGAGAAATTCCAGCCTCCTGGGGTGGGGGTGCAGGTCCCCTGAGGGCTTCCCCCATCTCACCCCACCCTGGCAGGGGAGATCCGGCTCACACCCGGACACTGGGGGTTCATCCCAGCCCCGGGGCGTGGGAAAGCCTAGGGTGGATTAGGGCAGCTGGAGTGCTTGAGGTCAGACCTCAAGGAGGACTTCCGGGTGGGTGGGGAGCCAGAAAAGGAGGGCCCTGGGGTCCCAGTCTGTCCTCCTCTGTGATACAAGAGAGTCTGACTGAGCTGGAGAAGTGGGGTCCATCACCATCTGAGTCCATCACCTTCTCCTCTCATCTCTGAAGGACCCTCTTTCCATATTCTGGGGAGGGGGCAGAACCAGCCTACCCCGGGGGAGACCGGTGCATGCGGGGAGGGGAGTAGCTGGGGCTCCAATTTCCATGTGAGACTTCTGGTGAGATGGTGGTGCTGAGGGAAGGAGGCAGCTAGACACAAGGATGAGCTGAAGGAGAAAGAGAGATGGGAGGTGGGAGAGGAGTGGGGTAGAGAGAGACAGAGGGAAAGATAGTGCCAAGGGAGAGAAACAGAGATGGGAGAGACAGGTTGGGAGGGGAGAGGACAGGGGAGAGAGATGGGGTTGGGGAGAGTCACAAAGAGAGAAAGGCAGAAGGGGGAGAGATGAGGGAGAGACAGGGGGAGACAGTAGGGAGGAGAGGGAGATATAAAGGGAGAGAGCATGGAGAGGAGACAGAGAGTGGGAAAGGGAAAGACAGTGGGGCAGCGGGGGGTTGGGGAGATGGACATGGGGAGTGGGAGAGGGAGGGTTGTAGAGGTACTGAGGCAGGGAGAAAGATGGACAGAGACACACAGAGCCAACAGGGAGATTCAAAGAGACATGGGAGAAAAGAGCTACCTGGAGACACGTAAAGAAAGAGGGGAGAGTTTCTGATTGGAACTCAGACCTAGGTTGGTTGCCACCTGTCCCTGACTTCGTGAGTGACCCTGGTAATTCCCTTTTCTCTCTGGACCTTGGGACCTGCAGACACTTACGTGACAGGGGACAAGACAGGGACCCATGGACTCATAGCAAAGGTGGCTCCCGCCGGAGCTACAGCAGCAACCCCAGTGCTGGGAGACCCCTGGGGGGGGCAGGGGGAGGGAGGGAGCAGGGCAGCCAGGCAGATGGAGCATTGAGGGAGAGAGGATGGAAGACGGTGGATGAAAGGGGTAGATACACACAGAAAGAGAGAAATCACCGTCCACCACGCATCATATTTTCCCTTGCTTACCTTGTTCATTTCCCACTGGACTATCATCTCCATGGGGACAGATGTTGCAGTCCGTCTTGGTTCCTGCTTGTATAGCATAATCCAGAACACGGATCTGGAGCCAGACTGCCTGGATTCAGAATCCCGGTTCTGCCCCTTCCTTGCTGTGTGACCCCAGACAACCTCTCTGGGCCTCAGCTTGCTCATCTGTAAAATGGGCATCATAATCCCGCCTCCCCCCAGCGCCGTTGTAAGGCTGAAAGGAGACTTCCTGTGAAGTGCTTGGAGCAGTGCCTGGCACAGAGTAGGTGGCCAATAAATATTTGTTGAATGGGTGCAAGAATATATAGAGGGTTATTTAGAGAGCCATAGCAGTGTCTATCATATTTCATTGAGCTAAGATGCAAGTTTTTTCCCCATTTGAACTTTCTGAAAATGGAATGGGTTTTAGAGTCAATGGTGTCTAGCGATTATAATTGACAGTGTTTTTTTTCCATTCTCGTTGATACTTAAAATAATACTGCAGCTTAAGTGATGTCTTAGATTGGATGATATATACCAAATAGATGATATATATTAGGTTGAAACGTGATTTCTGATATTCAAACATTTTTGACCTATAAAAACTATAATTTTATGACCTAAAAGATTCATAGAAAGCTACACATATAGATTAGATTATTAGATAAATCAGCTCTTCTCAATTTTTTTTTTTTTGGTCTCATGATCTCTTTACACTCAAAAAATTATTGAGGACCCCACATGGTTTTCGTTGATGTGGGTTATGTCTATCAATAGTTACCACATTAGAAATTAAAGCTGAGAAATTTAAAAAATATGTATTAATTCATTTTAAAATAGCAACAATTTGTTAGTATAAATCATGTATTTTTATTAAAATAATTATATTTCAAAACATTTAGCGAGAGGAGTGGCACTGTTACATTTTTGCAAATCTCCTTAGTGTCTGGTTCAGTGGAAGACAGCTGGCTTCTTGTAGCTCCTGCTACATTCTGTCTGTTGCACTGTCACATGTCCCTGGGGCCTCTGGAAAACTCCACTGTACACTCAGAAAGAGAGTGAAAAAGGCCAATAATATCTTAGCATGACTATGAAAATAATTTTGGCCTCATGATACCCTAAAAGGGTCTTGGAGACTCCCCAAAGTGTCGTGGACCACACTTTGAGAACCACTGAAAGTGTGAGCTCCAGTATATGGGAGCATCTGGGGGTGGGGATGGGGTCAGGGAGGGGGTACATGAGGAGGGGGAAGAGAGAGACTTAAAGAGACAGCTATCTACAGAGAGAGGTAAGGATAGCACGGTCTCATAGACGAGGCAGGACAGACAGACAGACAGAGGGACATGCGGTGGGTCCAGCAACCCTTTGCTGACCAGCAGAATGGAGACTCACTGACCGCCCCCATCTCTCTTTCTCTCCCTGCAGGTCTTCTCTCCGGTGACCCCAGTGCCCACCATGGCCCCCCTCAACTCCTACATGACCTTGAACCCTCTGAGCTCTCCCTACCCTCCTGGGGGGCTCCCTGCCTCCCCACTGCCCTCAGGACCCCTAGCGCCCCCAGCCCCTGCCACGCCCCTGGGGCCCACCTTCCCGGGCCTGGGTGCCAGCAGTGGTGGAGGAAGCAGCTCAGGGTACGGGGGCCCGGGACCGGGGCTGGCGCATGGGAAGGAGATGCCGAAAGGGTACCGGCGGCCCCTGGCACATGCCAAGCCGCCATATTCCTACATCTCGCTCATCACCATGGCCATCCAGCAGGCGCCAGGCAAGATGCTGACCCTGAGCGAGATCTACCAGTGGATCATGGACCTCTTCCCCTACTACCGGGAGAACCAGCAGCGCTGGCAGAATTCCATCCGCCACTCGCTGTCTTTCAACGACTGCTTCGTCAAGGTGGCGCGCTCCCCAGACAAGCCGGGCAAGGGCTCCTACTGGGCCCTGCACCCCAGCTCAGGTAACATGTTTGAGAATGGCTGCTATCTGCGCCGCCAGAAGCGATTCAAGCTGGAGGAGAAGGTGAAGAAAGGGGGTGGCGGGACCTCCACCTCCAGGAATGGTGCGGCGGGGTCTGCCGCCTCAACCACCACGCCTGCTGCCACGGTCACCTCTCCCCCCCAGCCTCCAGCCCCCGAGCCTGAGGCCCAGGGTGGGGAAGATGTGGGGGCTCTGGACTGTGGCTCGCCCCCTTCCTCCGCCCCCTATTTCACTGGCCTGGAGCTCCCAGGGGAGCTGAAGCTGGATGTGCCTTACAACTTCAACCACCCTTTCTCCATCAACAACCTGATGTCGGAACAGACACCGGCGCCTCCCAAACTGGACGTGGGGTTTGGGGGCTACGGGGCAGAGAGTGGGGAGCCTGGAGTCTACTACCAGGGCCTCTATTCCCGCTCTCTGCTTAATGCATCCTAGCAGGGGGGTGGGAGCATGGTGGGTCGGGTATGGCTGCAGCTCACACCATCAGGTTCTTGGGGCCTGATCCTTCTGGTGACACTTTGCTTGTCCCATCAGTTAACATCTAGATTGGTCTATTACCTACTGTGGTGACTGCCGTCTCTGTGGGTGTCGTAGTCGATCCATTGGGTACTGTGATAACTGCCATTGACATCTTGGTGGGCCCACTGGGTACTGCGAAGACTGCCATGTTGATCGTTGTTATTGGTTGATCCATTGGGTGCTCTGATGGCCACCATCTGGGATGACATCTTGGTTGGCCCTTTGGGCACTGTGATGGACATTCTCTTGGCTGACCCTTTGAGTGTGATGATGATACCATTTCAATTACATCTTCTTTGGCCCATTGGGTGCTGTGATCATTTCTTTTTTGGTGGACTTCTTGGCATAGAAGGTGTCAAGTTGGCCACCACCTTGCATAACCTCTTTTTTGGCCCACTGAGTGCTACGATGGCCACCATCTTGGCTGGCTGACATAACCAGTGTACCATTGTGCACTGTGACGGCCACTACAGCCCCTGTGTTGGCCATATCGTTACTGTCTCTTTGGTGTGATTTGAGTGAGGGATGGAGATGAGAATCCTCCTTGGTTTTCTCTGGAGCCCATTACCCCGTTTGGTCCAGGAAAAGCCAGAAAGGACTGGTTAGGGTGTGGGGAATTTCTACTGAAGTCTGGTTCTTGTCTGGGAAGTGGGATACTGGCTGTGTTTGACCATTAAAGGCACCAATTCTGCCTCTTACTGCATGTCTCTTTTCCTTGGCCGGTGGGCCCTGTGGGGCTTGAACACCTGAATTGCTGTTCCCTGTCCCCTCTCCTTCCTGCCCCCAAGAGCTGGCTGCCCTAGGGGAGGGCTTAGGGGAGGCATCGACCTAACCTTTGGCTCTTTGCTGTCCGTGATCCCAAGGACAGTTTGCTCACAGATAGCAGCCCCCGCAGCGGTGGGGCCAGGGCAGCAGGGGGAGGTGGCTCTGCAGTGACCAAGGCCATCTCCCCACCCCCACTCCCCGGACACACACCTCTAGCTCTGAGGCTCAGGGAGCCCAGAGGCTGCTCAAGTTTTGGTTAAGCTAGGGAGGAGGAGAAGGGACAAACTAGGCGTTAATTGAAGGAGACTGTGTTGGTCTTATCTGTGTGTGTGCGCGTGCGCCTCTGTGGGTCACAGGATATCACCCTGCCTATTGAGGTCCCTGTGGTCTGCCTCAGGGTGTTATTATCTATTGTTTGTATCCCTCAATTGTGTGGGTTTGTCCATCTGTTCATCTCTGGGTGTGTGCTCACTGTGGGTGTCTAGGGGTATCAGATTCGTGCTTGTGTATTTATTGTTTTGTGCGTGTGGTTCTCTTTGTCCACCTTTCCCTGGGGCCCTCTGGGTCTCACACTCTTAGATGTGTGTCTCTGTAACAGTTTGTCTGCACACCCCCTGCCTCAAAGGGTCTGCGTGTGACTACATCGGTGTTGCGGATCTGCCTGTTACTGTGTGTTTCATGTGTATCTCTGTGAGTCAGCGTCTGTCTAAGAGAAAGTATGTCCGTGTTTGCGCATTACGCCTGTCTTTGCTGTGTGCCTGTCACTGTTGTGCGGCGAGTCTGCTGGCCCTGGTGTGTGTCCGTCATTTTTGCAAGCGGGTGTATGGGGAAGGAGCTGGGTCCCCCTTCGGCCACTGGGTTTGGGTGTCTCCGTGCCTAGTCTCTGGATCTGATGTCTGTCGCTCAGATGTCTGAGGACATGGCTCTCTCAGAAACACAACTGGGTACTTTACGCCGCTCATTTCACAGAGTAGAAACTGAGGCTCAGAATGGGAAGGGACTGGGCCAAGGCATTCAGCCAGGCTGGAGCAGGCGGGCAGGGTTGTCTGATCTTTTCCTTATTTTCCATTTGTGTTTCTTGGTCGTTGGCTCTCTAGCCACTCATTCATTCCTTCATTCCTTCAGTCAAAGACTGAAGGCTGTTTATCCACCTGTGTGTGTGTGTGTGTCTCTCCCAGTTTCTGTGTGTGTCCGTCTTTCTGTCTCGTAGTGTCATCTCTCTCTTTGTCACTCTGTCCCTAACCCTCTCTTTGTGCCTTTGTCTCCTGGCTTTTTTGAATGTGTTCGCTCATCCTCTGTACGTCTGTCTCTCATAGGGTCTGCCTGGTGCTTTCTGTCTCATTCTCTCCGTTGCTCTGACTCTGCGTCCCTCCCTCTCTCTGGGCCTCTCCTCTTGGGGACTCTGACTCTTCCTCTCCTGGGGTCTGCCTTCCCCCACTCCTTCCTTGGATCTCTGGCCCTTCTCCTCTCTCTCTGGTAGCCCTCTCCCAGCTCCCCGAGTTTCCGTCTCTACCTGCCACCTCGCAGGCCGGCCCTCTATTTCTGTCGCTGTGCCCGCCCTGCCGGCTGCGTGTCACCCCCCGCCCCCTGCCGTGCTGGCTCCCCGTCAGCCGTCCCACCAGCCTCGCTGTCCTGGGCAGGCCGGGGAATTCCTTCTGGTTCCTGGAAAAAACAACTGGGGCCGAGAGAAAGGCCCTCAGTCTCCCCGGGCGCCCGCCCCCCTCCCTCGGGCCTGGGGGTCTCTCCCGGAGTCGGCCGGCCCGAGGCAGGAAGCCCTGCGGTTTCTGGCTTCTCCCAGGCGGCCTCCGGATCTGGCCCCCGCCCCCCGGCCAACAGCCCAAATATTATTCCGCAGGAGGAGTCGGCGGTGGCGGGAGGAGGCCCAGGCTGAAAGAGGCTTTCAGGGCGGCCAGGCCTGGGGCTTCCTGTCCCCAGGCTCGGGCCTCAGGCCGCCCCAGTGGGGACCTCAGGTGGCCGGAGGGGTGGGGTGTTGATGTAGGGTCCTGGGGGAGGGTGGGGCCATCCATCAGGGTGTCTGGTGGCCACCAGCTCGGCTGGCGTGGGCAGGTGTGACCCCCACCCCAGGGACAGCAGGCTGATGTCCAGCGTGGAAAAGTACCACGGTCAGACGTGGGACGCATGGACAGACAAGAGGACGCCAGGGATCAGGGATGGAGGGGTAGCCATGGGGACACAGAAAGGCCTGGGCTGAGACTGATGGACCTGGACACAGCCTGTGGGCCCAAGGTGACATGGTGCAAGGGATGGGCCGACGGGTGGGGAAACTGAGGGCCGGGTCAGGGTCCCAGCTGCACGGGAAGGCGTGAGATGCTGCTGCTGCTGAACAGGATAATAATCATGGCTCCCAGGGCTTACCATGTCGCCCCATGGCGTGAGCACCTCACAGAATTCATTGACCCAATCCTTCCCACCCCCCATTTTATTGTTGGTGAAACTGAGGCACGAGGAGGTGAAGTGGCTTGCCCAAGGTCACACAGATAGCGAGTGGGGAGCTAGGACTTGAACCCAGGCAGTCTGGCCCAGAGTCAGCGCCCTTACCCACGGGGCTGTTCTAGAGCATGAGGGGGTGACAGCAACACAGTCACCCCCACGGCCCATCACAGCTGCTACAGGAGGAGGAAGATGCACCCCAGAAGACAGCAGCCCGGGCGGTTTACGGTGTGTATGTGCATATCCGTGTCAATGTGTGTCACTGGTGTCACACAAGCATTTTGGTGTCAATGTGTCAGTGTCATTGTGTCTGCAGGCTTTTGTGTTACTCCATGAGGTGTCTCTGCTCAGTGTTAGTGTGTGCTGTGTGTGCTCGTCTCTGTGTCAGTGGGTTTATGTAGGTGTCGCTGTGTTTGTGTTGCTGTGTTTGCGTGTATGTCACCGTTCTGTCATTGTCTTCTGTGTGTCTGTCGTTGTCATCTCTGTCCTCTGTCTGTCACTGTTTGTGTTTTCTCGCTGTCTGTTTGCCCATCATTGTGTCCTAGCATCTATCACTGTGTGTGTCTGTCACTGCGTCTGTTACAGTGTGTCTCTGTCAGTGGGTTCTCTGGGTCTGTTTATGTCTCTGTCATTCTGGGTCTGCCTATATCTGTCCCTGTGTGTCACCGTGTCTATCCCCTGATGTGTCACCATCTACCCAGGTGTCTCCGTGTGTGTTACTCACCAACCAGGCCACAGGTGGGCGTGTCGGGCCCCCTGGTGCCAGGGCTGGGGCCAGCCCATCTCACCCCGCCTGCCATGGGCCAGGCTGGGCGCCTGTTTGCAATGCCTGCCCCAGGTAAACACCAAGATCCGGAACCCAAGGGCCACCTCCCTCACCTCCGCGCCCTGTGCTTCAGCCTGCCCTCAGCTGGCCTGGACCAGAGCCCCACAGGCGGTGCCCCCAAATGGAGACATGCCTGCCCCTCCTCCCACCCATGGTCACCAGCATCCAGCCTTGGCCCCGGCCCTGACTGTCTGTCTGTCTGCTTCTCTCTCTCCATCCCTCTCTGGGTGTCTCTCTGTTTCTTTCTGTCCCTACTTCCCCTCACCTGGGTTTCTCTGTGGCTCTGCCTTTCTCTGGAATGAGCCGTGTCTTCATTCTGTCACTGCCCCTCTACCTCTGACATCTTCTGTCTTTTCTCCGCGAAGTGTGATTTGTCTCTTTTCCTAATCTGTCTTCACTTGAACCAGCCCACTCTCTCTGCCACTTGTTACTGACTCGGGCTCTCTCTCTGCCAGGTTCTTTCTGTCTCTCTTTCGCACTTTGTGAGTCTCTCTCTCCTTCTGTCACTGTGTCCCTCTCGGCCTGAGTCTCTCAGTCTTGGCCACTATCTCTGTGTGTCTCTGAGCCCCCAGCGCCCCCCGGAGCAGACCTCTGCCCTGCCCAGGCCCCTAGGGAAGTGTGTGGCCCCCAGCCTGCTGGTATATATATAAAGGTATATGTACATATTATTTATATCTGTACCCGGGGGCAGGAGGGGCAGACACTGGGGCCTTTGTGTAGCTGCTGCCCGCTGCCTGCCCGCCCGCCACTCCTCTCGATTCGTCCCTGCCGCCTGCCCTCCTCCACTCCCCCCACACAGAAAGGTTCCTGTGGGGCCTGCCAGCTTCCTCTGCCTGAGGTGTGAGTGGGCACGCCACGGGCGAGGCGGGCAGGGGGGCCGGGGGGATTTTTCCAGCTCCAGGGAAGCTTTCCGGGTGGGGAGGGCTCTGGAAGGAATGGGACTTCTCAGCTGGGCTGCTGTCTGTCTGCGTCTGCTGTCCCTGGGTGTCCTCAGGTCCTTACCTGGCTTCTCCCTGGGAGTCTGTCCATCCATCTAAAGTCATTCTGACTTTTTCTCTGTCGGTGTGGGTCTTATTCAGTCGTGCACACACTGTTGTTAAGCATACGTGCTAGGCCCTCTGTTGAGCCCTGGGCACATAGATAAACGAGATGCTGTCCATCCCGGCTGATTCTTGGCCATTTCTGTCTCATTTGCTCCATCTCTTTACTCGGTGCTTGAAACCCGCTATCTGTTGCCATTAACACAAAATTCAAGGTCCTTACCATGGCCTGCAGGGCCTCAGTGCTGCCCTACTATCCCTCTGACCTCATCCTTATGACTCTCCCCCTTGCCGTAGCTACACTGGCCACCTGGCTGCTCCTGGAACAAACCAAGCAGGCTCCCACCTCAGGGCCTTTGCACGTGCTATTTCCCCAGATTTCCCTGGCTTGCTCCCTTCTTAGTGTCATCTCCTCAGCGAGCCCTTCCCTATCTCCCTCTTTAAAATAGCGACCTCCATCATTCTCGATCCCCTTTCCCTGGTTTAATTTTTCTTCTTAGGACTATGGCTGTCATATTTTAGGGGTCTCTCTGTATCTCCCACCCGGATGTCAGCTCCGTAAGAGTAGAGGCTGCATGCTGTTCCCCGCTGTATCCACAGCACCTACCCCAGTGCTTGTCACACAGTGGATGCTGAGTAAACACTTGTTGAAGGAAAGGAGCCCATTAATCTGTCCATCCTTTAAACCAGTCGTGTGATGGGTGATGCTGGGGACACAGTGGTGACTGAGACAGCCCTGGCATTGCCCTTATGGGGCTCACAGTCCAGTCCCCAGACAATGATGATCCAGAATGTGCAGGGCTGGGATAGGGGAGTGCAGGGTCTGTGAGACCCCGGAAATGGCACCCGATGCAGCCTGGGAGTCAAGGAGGGCTTCCCAGAGGAGGTGTCGGCAGAGCTGAGACCTGAAGGTTGAGTAGGAGTGAGCCAGGCCTTGTCGTGGGGACCAAGTGACCAAGATAGACCCAACCTTCCCTTCTTCTGAGCTCTGTTCTCTCTCTCATAGAACTTTCAAGTTTGAAGATGTCTTTAACTTTCTAGTCCAAACCTGCACCTTCTGATTTCAGTCTCTCTTTCTCTCTGAATCTCAGTCTCTTCTCTCTCCCTTCTTCTATGTCTCTATTGTTGGCATCTCATCTGTGTATCTCAGTCTCTTCACCCATCTGGATATTTCTCTTATTAGTTTTCTTTTCTGAACACCTGTCTGTTTCTATCTCATCTCCCTCATCTCAGAGGGTCTCTCGATCTCTCCTTGTCTCTCTGTGGGTCTCTGTCTTCTTTCAGTGAGCTGGTCTCTCTTTACATCTCCCTCCCCACCTCTGTTGTCTCCTATCTTTCCCTGTGTCTCTCTCTGCATCTCTGTTTCTCCTTTCTGGAAGCCTCTTCATCTACCCACTGATCCCCCAATAGATCCAGAAGCCCTCCACTCTGACCCCACCCTGGCCCTGGGGGAAGAGGGACTGATCCAGTCCCCCACACCCACACAGGTCAGGCCGACTGCAGTGTTAATGGTTAACTCGGCCTCTATCTAGAATACACACCGGCCAGGCTGGGGGTGACTCCCCTGCCCCCCACCCACCGACCAGCTGTTCTTAAAGGACCAGGTGTCCTCCACAGCTCTCTAGCCCCCATAGGGACATAGGACCCTGGTAGCTGGAGGCCTCTAGCCCTGAGGATGGGGGAGGGGGAGCCACCCAGCGCTTGGGTCTGCAGAGCTGGGTCAGTGGAGGCCACAAGATTGCCTGGGAGGGGTGCCCAGGCACGGAGCTCCATCCAGCGTCTCCCTTGCCCGGGGCTTATCGCCTGGTGTATTTAATCAGGGGTGGTTTTCCCAGCCCTGCCCAGAGCCCAGGTTGGCAGTGCCAGGGGTGACAGAACACCCGAGACCTGATGGCTGGGGGAGGGGATGGGACCCCTCAATCCAAAAACTGGGGGTTTAAGAACTGAGGGTCCTCCAGATGTGGAGGACAAAGCAGCAGGGTCCCTAATATTTGGGGGTTGGAACACGTGGGTCTGCACAATGTGTTGCGGGACAGCTGGGTGACCAAAAGGATGGGCCAGGGTGTTAGTATCTTACAGATTTAGCTGAGCCTGGGGGCAAGCTGGGGTCGCAGGGCTGTATGACAGTGCCGTGCGGTGGCACGACACACCATCATGCCCCATGTCTCTGTCCATCAGCCGGCCTTTGCGCCCAGCGTTCTCTCTTCCCGGAATCGCCACTTCAGGGTCGCGGGGGGCAGGCCGCAGGGATGGGGGCTGGGCTCTGGGGACCGCCCCCTCCCCTTAACCCCTGCTATGCCGCAGCCCGCTCTGGCCCCGCCCCGTGACGCCAGCAAGCAGGAAGTCCTGGTTAATGATCAGCCCACCGTGACAGGTGCGGGACAAGGCCGCGCACATCAGAGGCGGCCGCGGGGGGCGTGCCTTTTACTCTGCCAGTCACGGTCTTCCAGGGTGGCCGCCGTTGAGGCTGGGCTCCCGCGGTGGGCGCGAGCAGTTCAGGGCACCCTCAAAGGCGACAAGCGGTCACCTTGTTTCCAGGCCACCGTTAATGTACCCCATGCAAGTAAATTTCCTCTTTCCTCGGGCAGTCCCTCTAGCAATGTAGCCTAATTCTCCCCCTGTCCAGCAAGAACTCACTCCTATCCCTTCGGAAGGCCTCGCACAAAAGCCTCTTGATGCCTTCCCTCCCCTCGTGGGCCGTGAGTCCTCCACATTCTGTGCAGATACAGGGGATGCACCAGAAGGGAAACCTAATTCTCGAGCTTGGTCGTGGCTCCCATGCAAGAGCCACCCCCTCTCTGAGCCTCAGTTCTGTCATCTGGAAAAGGGGCCGATGGCTAGAACAGTTGCCCAGCGGCCAGCATTTGTAAAAACAGCCAGCGGGCCCGCCTGAGTGAAGGGCGCCACCTGGAGGCCACAACGCAACGTCCTCTCCCCTGCAGGATCAGGTCGGTCCCAAAGGGGGCGCAGCGTCTCACACAACTAAGGGACCAAGAAGGAAAAAAAACCCATCTTTCGGTTTATTGAAGGAGGAAAGGGGGGCGGGAGAGGGGGGCAATAAAATGCTTTTGCTTCGTTTATAAAGAGCGAGATTTCAGGAGGCCCCTTCTCAAGGAGGAGGGGGGTACCTCTCCCCCAACTACAAGCAGCAGCAAAGCAAAGCCAAGGAGGGGAGAGGGAAACTGGAGGGGCCAAGGGACCCCCAACACTCCCTCGTACAAAAGCCACAAGCTTTCTCCCCCCACCCTCAATGCATCTACCCCAGGGAACCCAACCGGGATGAGGAAGGGGTTATGTACACAGGTGGGAGCGGCACTGGGCTGGGCGGGGGAGGGAATAATTTATCCGCAGCAGCGGTGGGGGGCAAGGGGGCGGGGGCAGTAGACTGATGACAGTGGTGGCCTAGGGGTCCCGTTCTTTCTTAACCTTGATGTCTCCAGCAAGGATGGTGGCAATCTCACCCTGCATGAAGGCCCAGGGGACGGAGGAGCCCACCAGCGGGCACTTGTCTCCACTGGGGCAGTATACCTCCCCAGCGGGGCCCTGCGCCTTGATGAACTCCCGTGAGCAGGGGAAGCAAAACTTGTGTCCGGGCACTGAGGGGCACTGGACGAAGTGGGTGTCTTCCAGGCGCTCCCGGCATAGGGTACAGCACAGGGGGACCCCAGGGGTCGCCCCCGTGCCGCCACCACCCCCGCTAACAGCTTCCGCCCCCGCTGTGGGGCTGACTTCTGCCTCACCGTTGCGGGCCACTAGACGATGCTGGACTGGAGGCTGAGCTGTGGAGGAGGCTGCGGGGCTGGCGCCCCCTGCACGCACAGGGCCCCCACCCCCGCCAGGGTCCTTGGGGGAGTGGCCCAGGGCCTCCGCCACATTCTTCAGGGCAGCGATGGGTGAGGGCACACCCGGGGTATCAGCGGAGTACGGGCCACCGGGTGCCACCCAGTGCCGCTGCTGCTGCTCCTCGGTGGTCATCTTCCCAGCCGCCTCGCCCTCAGGCTCAGGGGATGCTTTGCGACGCCGTGGTGTGGGTGCCAGGTTCCGGGATGGGGCTCTTGGGGGTGGGCCACAGAGAGCTGCAGGGGCCGGCTCTGGGTACTGCTGGGGGAGGGCCTCCGCGGGAGCTGGCTCGCGGAAGCTGCGGACACCGTCGGTGAGCAGCTCCCCCAGCTGGCGCCATTCCCCTGAGCCGTGCCGGCGTTCATATTCGAGGTACTTGAAGCCTGATGAGGCCAGTGCCTTGCCCGGCTCCCGCAGAGCATCATGAAACATCTGGCGAGCCACGGCCAGGACTCCTGCATACACGTTGCCAGAACCACAGGGATATTCGGTGAAGAGCTTCAGCTCGAACTCGTAGCCTGGCGGGCGGGCAGTAGCATCGAAGGCGAACACCCGCCCCACCAGCCCGTGATCCTTCTTGAAGCGTACATTAAAGGGGGCGCAGGCGGACAGCGCCAGCAGCTGTTCCCGGACAGCTTTGGGGCGCCCATGCCACTCCTCTGCCCGGCCCCGCATGGCCTCGTTCAGTTCTGCCAAACAGTCCGCATTCCTCTGCTGCTTCTCCTTCTCGAAATCGGAGCCGAAGGCTGGACGCGCAGGACTCAAGCCGGGTGCCAGCGTCAGGCCTCGGCTTCCCAGGCCAGACACTGCAGCTGCCAGCAGCCCGGGGGGCACCAAGCCGGGCATGGAGCCAAGCAGGGCCCTTCGCGCCCCCTCGGCCACCTCCTCGCGGCCCAGCCCATTGGCCAGGCGGGACCCCAGAGTGTACTCCAGAGCGGGAGAGGGCAGGGGCAGGCGGCCCGACGATGTGGCCCTGTCATAGCGGTCCTGGCCTGAGACGCCGGCGCCTGTCCCCGACGGCTGGGGCTGGGCCTGCGGAGGCGGCAGCTGGGGCCCCTGCGCTGCGGCAGCAGCCAGGTCCTTGGTGGCCGGGTGCTTAAGGGCCGGGGGGCCCGGCGAGCGACCCTCGGGGAGCACGTGGCTGCGCTTGAGCTGGCGGGCGGCGTCGATGAGCAGCTCGATGCGATCTGCGCCCTCGAAGTTCACGCAGCCGCGGCAAACGGCCTCGCTGAAGTCCCACACCATGGCCCACGGCATCTTGGGCAGGTCGCACAGGTAGCACCACTGGCGGCGGGACGCCTGCACCGACGCCATGGCCCCCGCGCGCGCGAAGCCGGGCCCCCGCGTTCCACCCGCCGCCGACGTTCGATCCGCGCCGCCGACGTTCGTTTCGTGTCGCCGGGACCGCGCGGGCCGCAGTCGGGCCTCCGGCTCGGCCTCCCCGCCGATCCAGACCCGGCCCCCCTTCCCCGCCCCCTGGGCCCTGAGCCTTTTTCCTCACTCCCGCCTCCTGGGAAAGGCAGGCAGAGGCCCGTCTGCGCCCCCGCCCGGTCGGGCTCCGGGCCGAGGCGCACAGCTCGGGCCCCGCGATGGGCCCCGGGCGCCGCCGCCTCCGGCTCCCGCCGCTCCCGCCGCCGCGGCTGCAACGGCCGCCGCCGCCTCCACCTCCTTCTGCCCCAGAGGCCGCTTCGCAGGGAAAGTTACATAACGTGCCGGCAAAGCCTTCTGGGAAACGTAGTCCCGCCGGGGTCGACTCTTAAAGGGGCCGGCAGGCGGCGGCGTGGGAGCGGGAGCTCGCCGCCTCTCCGCCGCGCAACCCTTTCCACTCCTCGCCGCCGGGAGCTCGGCGCGCTCCGAGGAGCTCGGGCACGAGGGTTGGGGGCAGGGATGTGATACGAATGGTCAGAGCTACCACGGACTCAGAAATCGGAGGGGGTGGGCAGGCTTCTGGGTCCAGTTTCTGCTCCGACTTGCCGTGCACATTTAGGCAAGTCTTGCCCTTTCTGAGGCTTAGTTCCCTGCCCATCAAAGGTGAGCCAATGACCGGTTAGGAAGGCAGCAGCTCCTGGGGCGGGGCGGAGGGGCCCTGATTGGATGGTTTCAGGGTTGGGGGACGGGAAACTGGCAACTTGGCGGGGGGGAGGGGGAGGTTGTCCACTTGGCACTTAGTCTTCCCCAGAATCTTGGATATCAGCCTCCGACTGGGGCCGGCAACAGCCGGAGAAAGGAGAGGACTGAAGGGCTCCAGGCCAGGCCTCTGCCTCAATTGCCTCATCTGCTGAAGGGAGTGAGTGGTCGAGCGCCCTCCAATTGTTCCAGCTCTGCCTGCGCGCTCTGGTCTCCGAAGGGTTACACTGGCAGCTTCTCCGCGCCCCCCCCAACTTCACTACAATTCCCAAAATGCTCTGCGGGGCGGACAAGCTGACGCACTTCCGCTGTCCGGGAGGTTGGGGGGGGCCCTTCCCGATTCCCCCCGTCTGTATCTGTTCTACCCCCCCCGTCAATTTCTGGGGACTGTTTTTGGAGCACGGCGTTGAGAGGATACTCCCCTTCTACTGCTCCCTAATTTAGGGGAAGGGAAAGAAGCCAGAGATGGCGAGCAAGAGTTGGGGGCGTAGTTTCTGCGGAGGGCAAGCTCCAGACCACCCTTCTCCAACCTTGAGTGCTTACTTACCTGATAGGCCCAACCAGGCTTTGGGGACCCCCCCGTTTTTTCTTCCCGGCGTCGGGAACAGTGTAAGGCAGGCTTGGGGTGAGGGGGAAGGAGACAGGTCTCCAGGTTCTAACCCACATCAGCCTCTTTCTCTCTCCAGGCCCGGTCCGCGTTAAGGGCTCAAAAATATATGAATGACTTGCCAGCGTTGCATTCATTAATGGCTTTCCAACTAATCAGGGGCTGCCTGCCCCCCTCTCCCTCATGCCACTGTAACCACAGCACCCCTGATTTTATGTTACCCAAACTTCAGTCTCAGCCTCACAATTTTACTTACCACTTGTATTATTATTTTCTTAACATTTTTCTTGAAATTGACTCCGGTGAAACAGACTATCTACTTTTGCCTCATCCGAAGCAATATTATGTGCACAATCACGGATTTTAGGTACTAGCTATAATTTTACAAAATAAGTTAAAACTACCTATAGAACCATTAACAAGTCCATCTGTGTATCACCTAAAATTGCCTTTGTACCATTCTCTGGTAAATGTTAGTGGCAGTCGAGTTCTGGCCAGACGTGGGCTTCAGATGGACTAGACTGGCCCCTGACAAGTTGAGGGCAAGTCCCTAAACTTCTCAGGAAAAAATGGAGGCCACTAGAATCTGCTTTTCATTGGGCCGTTCAGGTTAACATGCAACCATGCATATAAATGCTTAGCATCGTGCCCGGCCCAGAAAAGGAGAGCCATAAATGGAAGCTGTTGTTTTCAAGCTGCCCATTAATTCAAAGATGCAACAACCCCTCTTCCGTGTTGGGAAATGCTGAGGACACACCAGTGACCGAGAGAGGCACAGGCTCAGCCTAGTGACAGAGGCTGACGTTCAATTTAAATTGACTCAAGTGATTATTCAACTGCATTTTTTAATAACTGCGGGGGGAGAGGAGATGTCAAGAAAGGCTTTCTTGAGGAGGTGATATTTGAGCTGAGACCTGAAGGATGAAGAGAACGTAGTTGTAGAAGTCAAGACTCCTAATCTTGATGCCCATTTTACAGATGAGGAAAATGGGGGCCCATGGTTACCCAGCCGGCCAGGGCAGCACCAGGGTTGAGCCAGGTCTGACGTTCTGTGTGTCCAGGGTGGTGGTGATTACATACTTTTGCTACAGGCTCTGCAGCCGGTTTCGGAGTCAAAAAGCGAACCAGCTCCTGCCTTCATGAAACTATGGGGGAAACATGCCTAAAACCCATAAAGGCACTTGTTCATTTAGGGACACTATGAAAAAGAACCACAGGACACTGAGAGGGACTCTAAGAAGCAGACCCATCCTAGCCTGGGAGAGGGAATCCAGAATGTCCTCCTGGAGGAGGTGACATTTAGGCTGGTACCTGAAGGATGACAACATAGGAATAAGATCTGAAAAATGGCTGGAAACCACCAACCTCCAACTTCAAGGGGGTGTCACCTGCCCATGGAGGGGGTGGGGCAGGTCTTGATGCTGGAACCCCAGCCTGTCTCAGACAGCGCCCCAAGTAATTGTATTAAAAATAAGTTTATTGATATCTCGTCATCACTGGAGAGACAGGAGGGAGTTGAGCTCTGGAAGTCAGAGACAGCAATGGGAGGCAGAGGGCCCAACCCATACATCCCCAGTGAGAACTCCGCCCCCCTCTCCCTAGGGTAGGACTGCTGTATCCTCTTTGTCATCCATATTCTGATTTGTCTGGCAACCCCCTCCCCCTCCAAAGTCTGGGTTGGGGAGGTGGGGAGGCCCCCACAGGTCACTTCTCTTCAAGTCAAGGCCAGTTGTTGTTAGGGAGGGGGTGTGTGCAGCCCCCAGAGGTTCCCTCTGCAACCCACAAAGGGCAATAATAAATAACGTAAAATTGATGGCTTAGAAGTCAGGGTTCAGGGAAGCAGCCAGGCAGACAGCGCTGTACTGGAGAAAGGGCTGGGGGGCCCAGCAACGAGGCCCCCCGAGAATCAGGCACTAACTAGTACGGGGAGTGGGGTGCTCGTGCCCCGCAGCAGGGAGCCGAGTGCAGCCGGGCTGGGGAAGGGGCGTGGCCCTCCTCCGCTGGGCTAAGCTGGGGCGAGGAGGCGCAGGCGGCAGCGCAGACAAGCTGGAACCCCACAGCAGGTTTCACGGCGATTTCCATCGCCCCCGCCTCTTCCGTGTAGGGAAACCTTTCCTCCTCTTGTGTGGCGGGGAGTCGTGGGGAGGCAGTGCGGCTGGGGGAGGTCGGGGGGCCCCATCCTCGCTCCTAGGGGCGATGATCACCCCCCTGGCAGCCACCACGTTCCCGTCCACGACAGCAGCCACCACAGACACGGGCTCGGGGGTGATCTCCAGCTTGGGGGTGGGTGGGGGCAGGACGGGCCTGGGGGGTGGAGGTGGGGGCGGTGGCAGGGGCACAGGTGGGGGTAGCGGGTCGACTGGCGTTCCAGGCAGAAGGGGCAGCAGGGCGCTGAGGGCCTCGCTCAGTTTGGCCAGTCCCTGCCGAAGGGTGCCAGCCAGCTCCCGGATGGCGTTGGCAGTCTCCTGCTGGGCCCGCAGGAAGTCCAGGGAAGGGTCTGGGGCCGAGGGGTTGGGCGGGGGCGGCGG